TCCTCCTAAAGAAAGACTTTGGATACCTATCTAGTTGTCTACAGTTGTTCATGCAGAAGACCTAGAAACATGTCAGGATGTATTATTAACAGTACCACTATCTACTATAGTAAGACAATATAAGCATAGCCTTACAGACATTAATACATAAGGAGAAGACTTTCTGTACTGCTTGCAATGCTTGTTTTTCTTGTTCACAGATCAGGAATCCATATACAGGGTATCCATATACAGGGAAGAGAGGAATGATGAAATGCACACTTCACTGTGGTGCAAACCATGTGTCTTACGTGTGTCTAATATCACAGTAACAGTACAAAACCTGTATTATCATTTTTGCCTTTACTCAGAATACCTATGATTAATTTGTTCTTCAGCGATTTTAGCTTGGACTGCTCTGCAATGCTTTTGATAACAATCAGTCACAAGGTAGAAAGCTAATACTTTTCATTTTCTAAAGGTTTGGAAAGGCATAGCTACTTGGCAGCATATAGCTGAAATTGGCTGACCTCAAAAATTTAAGCTGGATTTGCATTTGGATGACTGCAGTCTAGACAAGAAAAATTCCAGAACAAGACATTGGCAAACAAACATGTCACTAACTTAACAACTGTGTGAAGAAATGTCATAAAATGGGGTAAAACTCACTTAACAATTGTCTTTCTTAGTAACAGAAATTTTGGGCTCCATTGTAGTCAAAAGTTGAGGACTAACTGTATTTAAAGGTGTTCTTTTTTCTGTTGGTCACTCTTGTCCACTAACCTTACACTTTGGGGTTATTTTTCCTTATTGCAAGTTGTGTTCTCTGTCAATAACTGATGCGGCACCTCCTTCTTTTGATTAGTATGTCACATTGTTCCCTTGTCAGACATTCAGAATAGCTGCATACTGATAACTTAGAGACATGATGGTGAATCAATGGAACGCGCACCACAGGTGGCATGCAGAGCCCTCTCTGTGAGCATGCCAGCTGTCACCCCAGCCCAGCTCCACCATGCATGTGTGTGCCTCCTGCTGGCCAGCTGGTCTTCAGATCTCTGCCGCGCATATGCAGGGGGTGAGGCGCATGTGGGGGATGTGCATGCACAGAGGAGTGGGGCGCATTCATGGGGGGCGCTTGCACTGCATTTTGCGTGGCACCCCTTTGCCCAATTTTGGCTTCCAGGTTGGTGCAGGAGACCTTCTAGGCCCAAAACGGGGTCAGGAGCAGGGTGCGGGGTGCTGCATGAGACCCCCCCCCAATGCCGTTTTGGGTCTGGAAAGCCTCCTGCATCAACCTGGAAGCAAAAACAATGGGTGAGGGGGGAGCACAGGGGATCATGTGCGCATGCGTGGGGGGAGGCAGGGACATACAGGGGGTCATGTGTGCATGCATGGTGGAGGGCAGGGGGTGTCACATGTGCATTGCATTATGGGTAAGGGCACGTGGGTGTGCTGTCACACACATTTTTAGCACGCAACAACAAAAAGGTTAGCCATCACTGACTTAGAGGCAAAACCTATTAAGGACTCTAGAACTTCCCTGATAGACTGGGAACTTCTGCTTGTTCTTCATGCTCACTGTCTCAGTGTGCTTACTCCTGGGAATCTACTGGGTTATAATCCTCCTATTATCTCTGCTTAACTCAGCAGGAAGCATGCCACTGAGAATCCACAATGGGCAATCAGCATTTAGAGTTTTAATTAACAGT